CAGTGATTTCATAAATATTACTGTAATATTTATGCAGTGAATTATAATGTAAGAAAGTAAATACGTATGTGTGTGTTTGTATATATGTGTGTGTGTGTGTTGTGTGTGTATATATATCTATATTCATATATTTTTTAAGAGAGGTATTTTTGTTGTAGGGCACATGTGCTACCCAGAGATACAGACAGACAGAAAGCAAGAAATCACCTCCCGGGGAGGTGGCATGTTGCAATCCCATCTCCGCCATTCTCCTCTAAGGATTTTGGACACACACAAGCACACATGCCTGGTGTGTTTCAAGCCTTCAGGTTCAGGACTCAAACCCCATAACCGTTGTGGGAGGCCAGTAACATAACAACTATGCCATCTACTGGTCCCTATACATATATTTTGAAATACTACTTTCTGTTCTTTTCTCTACTCTGTTAACTGCTATAGGACCCCAATATCTCAGTCATAGCTAATCAAACATAGCAGGACTGCCATTGGACTCATGGTGGCTCAGATATACTTATTCCTGTGTATTAAACTCCTAGGAATGAGAGTCTCAGGAACTAAGTGTTGCATAATACAAAAATGTCAACTTACTCATTTCTAATAAAACTATAATGGTCACAGAGGCAGAAATATTTTTCTTACAACAGCTAAATCACCCTTTGGCACATGTAAGGGTATCCAAAATTAGAAATGCAAAACTTGTAAAATCTCAACAAGCATTAGTTGAATAATTTAAATTATTTCTTTAAACTAACTCTTTATTACTAAAGGAGATATTAGACTTCCCAGTGGAGTAGAAATCTCTAAAGTGTCAACACTACTACTTGTTATTTACATTGGTAGGCTAGATGGATTTTTATCTTATCTTGTTGAAGTTCCTATTTCTTTTTCAATTAGAAAAGAGTGTGAGTCCCCCACCCTTGCTTAATAGTAAAAGTTATTATTTTGGATGTAAATTTTTTGCTGTCATTACTATCATTATTTTATAGCAAATGATATGAAATAGTGTTGATAAATAGTCATAAATGTTAACTGCTATTTCTAGATACACAATTATAGGAAATTGATTCTCCAAGTATAAATTTTAAGAAAATTTTGCATAACTAATAAGAAATATTGTTTTATTACAGCTCCAAGATCTGATTCTACTCATATTTTATTTGATATGAATGACAAAAAAATGGTTACCCTAAATAACAAAAAGGCAAGAAAGAGACAGGAATAGAATAAAGTGTTTTCTTATGGAAAAGAGAGAATTTAATCTTAATGTTTTAAGCTGAAAGTTAACCTGAATGAAGAACCAACTCTTGAAGTTATGTTTCTATTTTTCAACATGTCTCTCTCTGTAGATAGACAGGTATGTAGATAAGTCAGAGATAAAGGATACATAAATAAATATATTCATATACTTATGTATGGATACATGACTAAGTATGTGCATAGTTAATAATGTATATATTAGTAAAGCATATAAAGCCAATTTTCGAATTCTTCATTCATTTGTGAGGTATGCTCAAAAGAATAGTCTTTTTTTCTTTTTTTTTTTGGAGAGGTCTTCGCTATAGGGCGCATGTGCTCGCCAGACAGACAGAGAGAGACAGAGAGACAGAAAGCAAGAAGTCACCCCCCAGGGGGGATGGCCACACCGCAATCCCTTCTCCTCCATTCTCCTCTCGGGATCTTGGGCACACATGCACACATGCCCGGAGTGAGTTTTAAGCCACTGGGTCTGGAACGCGAACTGCGATTGACTACATGGGAGTCCAGCGACATAGCCATTACGCTAACTGCTGGTCCCAAGAATAGTCATTTTATCTATTTATACATTTTTAAGCATTTTGACACAGGCAAGAAGATCCTAATGACAACTATGGTAAAAACTTTAGTATTTAGCTCTTCCCATCACATTACACAAAAATAAGATAAAGGCTTTTTCTAAAATTCGTGCTGTTGTTGTTCATGAAAGACCGTGTGTGTCCATATGTGAGAGAAAGAGAGAGAGAGAGCAAAATAACAGAGTAAACTGAACACCTTTACAGGGTTGGGTCACATTTCAATCTCCTTTCTCCATTCCTCCTGCCTTTCATATCTTGGGCACTTGAATGTCCATAAGTAGAATGGGTTATAGAATACCACAACAAGTAAAAAAAAAACTTATGATAATTTTACCTAAACTTCTCAATAACTAATGCAGCAGATTTTTTTATAATTATTTATTTTATTTTATTTATTCATTCATTTATTTTTTAATTTGACCAGAGAGAGACAGACGGTGAGAGTGAGAGAGAGAGGAAGTGAGAAAGCAAGCCACCAGATTCAGGACTTGAACCCAGGTCGGCCATGTGGGAGTGTCCAGCGCCTTAACCACCATGCCACCTGCTGGTCCCATTGCAGCAGATTTTTGAATGTGCACAACATGAAGTAATGATAAATGTTGGAGGCCATATATATGCATTTTGTATCAATTTGATCATATATTACACAATACATGAATGTTTCAAAAATCAGTGTAACTCACAATGATGTACAACAATTACATATGAATTAGAAATTATAATAAAATTAATTATTGAAAAAAAAAAACAAAATCGGCATAGAAGGGTCATTTTGTTGTTGTTGTTGTTGCTTTTTAGATTTTTACTATAGGGTGCGTGCACTCGCCAGACAGACAGAGAGACATAGAGACAGACAGAGAGAAATCACCCCCCAGGGGGGATGGCAACGCTGCAATCCCTTCTCCTCCATTCTCCTCTTGGAATTTTGGGCATGCACACACATGTGCCCAGCTTGAGTTTTAAGCCACCGGGTCTGGGACGTGAATCATGGTCGACTACGTGGGAGTTCAGCGACATAGCCATTACGCTAACTGCTGGTCCCATAAAGGGTCATTTCTCAACACAATAAAAGTTATTTATGAAAAAACCATAGTGAACATCATCCTGAATGGAGAACAGCTGAAAGCCTTCCCACTAAAAACGGGTACAAGACAAGGATGTCCACTTTCTCCACTCCTTTTCAATATGGTGCTAGGAGTCCTCGCCAACGCAATCAGAAAAAAGAATAAAATAAAAGGCATTCAAATAGGAAAAGAGGTGAAACTCTGTATTCGCAGTTGACGTGATGGTATACATAAAAGACCCAATGGTTTCCATTAAAATTTTTCTGGAAGTAATACACGAATATAGTAACATTGCAGGATATGAAATCATTATACAGAAATCTATAGCGTTTCTATATATGAACAACAGGCAGACTGAGATACAATTGAAAATATTTATTTCATTTACCATAGCCACAAAAAAGTATAAGATACTGAGGAAGGACATTTAGAAGAAAAATACGGAGGCAAAGCATTACCGGGCAAAGAAATTTTGTATCTATTGAAGAACTTTTATAGCTTAATCAACTGGACTAGAGAGAAATGATCACATATTGAAATATTCACTTTGTAACCTAAAAAATGGTAATTGAATGTATAAAAAAAATTAAATAAAAAACTTAAAAAAAAGAAAGTACACTTAAGAACAACAACAACAACAAAAATAGAGAAAGAAAAGAAAAAAAAGAGACCATCAGGTTAACTGGGATTTCAGGAAGACATTGGGAGGAAAAATGATACATACTCTTGTAATGCAAATCGAGGGGATACGTGGTCACAGTGGTAAAATGGAGTGCTCTGTGATGCTGACTGACATGAAAAGGTTCCAGTTTGTGTATAAAGACCTCCTGAAATATGCCAGGCACACATGTGCTCATGATCCCAGGCTGGTTGAGGCAGGGTGTGAATCACATCCTACAGACCCTGGTGGAATGCTATCTTCCTGTTTGTGCCTCTTGATCATAGAAACAAAAAAATAAATAAACTATAAAAAAAGATAATAGAGACATTTGAATTCAGGGAGTTAAAAATCTATAACTAAAGTCACAGTAAAATAAAGCTTAAAAAATCTTTAACAAGATGATGGGGTGTCAGAGATACTGGAAACGTATGTAAGAACAACTTGGGGCCAGCCTGTGGCATGATGGTTAAGAGTTTTGGAATCCCACATGGCTGACTGCGGTTTGAATCTAGTAGCTGGCTACTTGTTTTCTTACTCCCCCCTGCCCTTACTCTGTCCTTCTCTGGTCAAATTTGAATAAATAAATAAAATACAATAATTCTTTAAAAATTAAAATAATCTCAAGGGATAATAATATTCAAAAGACTGAGTACATTACTATAAATAAGCAATTCAAATTTTACTTTTAAATATTTGTTTGGACAGCTAGCAGGTGGTGTGGTGGTTGAGATGCTGGACTCCCACATGGCTGACTGTGATTCAGGCTTTGGACCTGGTAGCTTGGTTTCTCATTTTCCCTCTCTCTCTCTATCTCTCTCTGTTGAGCACATATGTCCTATAAAAAATTAATACTCCTACTACTACTAAACAAAATTAAATAAATAATTATTTAAAAAGAAAAGAATCCAAAATTGTATTTGACTTTCTATTGTTATATAATTGAAAGGATACACACATTTACAAAGTATTTCAGAAATTATCGTCAAATGATGCATGATGAGCAGAAAAGAGAATCTGTTGTGTTTAATGGGTGAAGAAAAATGACAAGCTGTGGGAAACCACTGTTCTACATCCACCAGGTTAAAAATAATTAGGAAACTCACCATCTGCAGCAGTTTTAAGTTGGGAAACTGCATTCTAACGTTTCCATGATTTGTGTTATGTGTCTTGCCGGGGTCCAGCCTCGGTGGGGTGAGTTGACTCAATGGAGGCGCTGAAAGGAAAGGAAGACAAAGGCCTCGTGCTTTTTTATGCACGTCCTGAGTCGGACACTCCTCTAAGATCGCTCTCTGAGGAGTGACCACTGCTAGGAATCACCATGCCTTTTTATTTAAAATGAGACACATGCAAGTAAATGGGAGAGGGGCTAAGTGTTCTAATTATCAATGCATAAAGTTTTAACAATAGAGACCATTCAGGGTTTGATTAAGGGCAGGTCTATTAATCATCAATACAATTCAACAATTGTTTGATTGACGTAAGCAAGCTTTTGGGAACTTCTGTTCTGGGAGTGTGGTTTCGGAGAACAGCTTCAGCAGGCAGAGTTAATCATCAGCCAGTACTTGGCGGCAGCCATCTTGTGGTTACTGGTTGTGATTCTAAAAAAGAAAATCGCAATAAAGAATGATATTTATATAATTCTATAGAGATCTAAAATTTATTTAAAGGAATCCTAATATATTTACCTATCCTGAAAGGGTGAAGTTAGTGTTCACTTGATGAAGGCGGAGATACAGCCTTCTCAACTGGTGGTGAAGTGACTAATGAGTTAATGAAAAACTTTGTGGCACACCTAGGCATTCTTATTGTGCTTGTGGTACCACCATCATGTACTTTGTCAGCACATTAGCTACAGTGAGGCGGGGGTGTCCTGGGTCAGTTTCTGCCTAAGAGGTAATTTTTAAGTTTATATAAATGTGTTTTGAAAGGCCTTCCAAAGATCAAGAAGAACTTTAGCACACCCTTTATTGTGCCCAATGAAGCATTGTAATTAACAGTAAGTGGTCAGGGTAAAGGGGAGCGGTCTGGGAATTTTGGAGAAATCTTGCTACACATATGTATGAGAAAACTATATAATTCTTTTATAGTAATATATCGGGGAGTCAGAGGGGGGTCACTTCCCAGCAAGGCTACCACAGTCCCGGAGCAAATAGCAAGCAGCCTGGCCGACATGCTAATTGACCCAAGCTTGTTCCAGGGTCAGGGGTGTACAGTAGGCCTTGCCAACGACCAGAAGCGATGCTTAAAGGTCAAGGGGCTCAGACGGGTCCTGGAGCCCCGCTGGGTTGGACTCCTCCAGTGTCTGTCATTCCTAGATAAAGAACGTGTGGAAGAGACCTGCCTTCTCTTCACTGCCTTGGCTCAGGAATGCCACCTCTCACCCCACTAGTCCTTGCATTGGCAGACATCAATCCAACGTCCACTCTACATGCCAGAGGCTTCTTACAGACCGGGATATCTGGCACATCAGCATGTTAAGCAAGAGTTGGAGAATATTTGTAGTAATTTCTATCATAGAATCTAATTTTCAGGAACTGACTCATGGCAACCAAACTCATGAGAGACATATAAAGTAGCACACTCATTAATTGACACCTTTAAAATGCTTGCCACAGGTACAAGATATATTCTCACAATCACAGTTTGAATATGGAATGAGACCAGTTTATCAGAGCCTGGTGGAATTCTGATGAACCTGTCTCACCTGGAAATACAAGGGATATTTTAAAAATTCATGGGAAATAAAGAATATGAAAAACTATATGTGGATTTAATAAATGTTTTGGACCTAAATAAAATTGAACTGAGACCAGCAGATGGCATAGCATTATGTCACTGGACTTCCACATGCTCAACCGTGGCTGGAGTTCCTGACCTAGTGGCTTGAAAAATCACATTTATGTGCCCAAAATTCTGAGAGAAGAATGGAAGAGAAAGGATTATAGCATGGCTATTCTCCCCAGGAGGTGATTTCTCACTTCCCCTCTCACTGTCTCAATTTCTCTCTCTGTTTTTCTCTCTCTCTCGTGAGTACACATACCCTAAGGCAAAAATCTCTAAAAAATAATAAAATTGTACTTTAAATTTATTTTTCCATTAAGTTTTTAAAAGTTTACTTGTGGGACCAGCAGTTAGCATAATGGCTGTGTTACTGGACTCCCATGTAGTCGACCAGGGTTCGTGTCCTGGACCTGCTGGCTTAAAACTCACGCCAGGCGCGTGTGCGTGCGTGCCCAAGATCCCGAGAGGAGAATGGAGGAGAAGGGATTGCGGTGTGGCCATCCCCCCTGGGGGGTGATTTCTCACTTTCTGTCTCTCTGTCTCTCTCTGTCTGTCTGGCGAGCACACACGCCCTATCGCAAAAACCTCTCTGAAAAAATAAAAATAAAAATAAAAATATAAAAGTTTCCTTGTATTACTGCCTCCAATGTCTAACTGTGTTTATTCTGGGTATATTCTGAGGCAAAAATTTCTGTGACTGACAAAAAGCACCTTAAGAGTGATAGATTTGAACAGTCTCTCAGGTTGCTGAGAGATTACCTGTCTCTCTGACTGGTTTAGTTACTTAATAAATAAGCCTGGCTAGCCTAATAATATTTCTGCATCTTCAGGTACCTTTATATTTTCCTGCTTTGATCCATTATGTGTTGGTTATAAAAAGAAATATTTATATTTTTACTATTTCTTCTTTCAGGGGTTAGGTAGTTTACTGTGTTGACTATTACAAAGAGGTAAAATTGTTTGAAAAAAATTTAGATAAATATTTTCAGAACTGTTGTATTTTCAATTATGTAAAAAAAACTATAAATAATATTAGTAGGAAAAATAACACTTAAAAGTAACTCTCATTGTCACACTTTCTAAAATGAAACTTCAATACACTAGTTTTTAATATGTAATTGACAATAGCACCTTCTTCCATTTTCTTTTCAATGTTATTATCACACACATCTTCATCTCTAGTATTATCCATTTAAAACCTCAAGATGTTAGATTTCACTTCAGATATAAATTTCAGTGACAATAAAATATACTAGGAATATATCACTTTCAAAGAGAAGGCAAATATTATATTTTCTATTTCAATTTAGAATAACTGAAAAGGAAAATGAAATAGATTTTAAAGGATTGATGATATAAAAGAATACATCAAATACTTTCTAGTCTGTTGATTTTAATAATTCAGAACTTTTCCCTAAGCTATCTATCATTCAGCTAATATAGCACCACTTTCAGAATATGAAACTTTTTAATATATTTTCATATTTAATATTTAATAATACTTTAAAATTAATTTAATCAAGAATATAGGACAACACATAAGTTCTCTATCAATCAGTCTACCTATCTATCTATCTATCATCTTTCTATCCAAAATGTACTCTCTAAAACAAGATAATTTTCTTCTGAAATGTGTTTATCTCAAAGAGTATTTATCTCGAAGCTCTAAACTTATTGTTTCAGAGTGTGTGTCTGTAAATTAAATGTCACCACAAACTTTTCCTAAGAGAAATAATTTAATAAGCAATTGTATGTCTACTATATTCATTAAAAATATATCTTATACAGCAGACTGAAATCTATAGCAAATTTAAAAACAGTTTAGTCTGAAAGGCTGGGAAGAAAATTCTTACATATTAAAGTAGTAGGTAAAATTTTGCAATTACTTACCAATATACTTAAATAATCTATAAAAAATAATAGAAATGAAGTGGAGAATGATTTTCCTAAGTCATGTGTGACCTGTAATGATATTTAAAGTATGCAAGTATTATTTGAAATTCATGTGACTGTAATGGACATTTAAAATTTCTCTCTAGTTCCTGTCATATAAGTCAAAAGAATTTATCATGAAAGAGAAGGAAGCAAAATCATTAACTGCGATTAATATCTTTACTATATGAGATTTTTTCCATAGTATATAAACCATATTCAAACATCCTAAGAGGACTTTTTAATTTTTTAAAGAACTACCAATCTAACAAGTTATTGAAAAATATTATCCAATCATTAGGCTAATCTTTGCCACTTCAAACTCATGTACAATATATATCTACCAAGACTGATACACTGCTTTTGTTTTATTATTTAAATTGGAGTGTGTATTCCTATCATATTGTCTGTTAGGACATTAAAGAACAAAAGAGGGAGTGTATACCTGTTTTCATAAATGGTTCAAGGTTTTGAAAGAACATAAATGTGGGACTAGCAGTTAGTGTAATGACTATGTCGCTGGACTCCCAGGTAGTCGACCACGGTTTGCATCCCAGACCTGGTGGCTTAAAACTCTCTCGCCGGGCACGTGTGCGTGCGTGCCCAAGTTCCTGAGAGGAGAATGGAGGAGAAGGAATTGCAGCGTGGCCATCCTCCCTGGGGGGTGATTTGTCGCTTTCTGTCTCTCTGTCTCTCTCTGTCTGTCTGGTGAGTGCATGCACCCTGTAGCAAAAACCTCTGCAAAAAAAAAAAAAAAAAAGAAAAGAAAAGAAAAAGAAAATAAAAGAAAGAACATAAATGTACAATTTCTAAAACTGTTAATAGCTCATTTCTAGTTTTAGCAGATTGGAACTTGAGCACAGTTAAAAATTAGTTCGTCTAGTTTCAAGAGGTTGAAAAGGCTATCTTGCTTAAAAAAAAAAAAAAAAGTTTAGCTATAAGCATCTTCCCTACAAAATGCCATAGCAAAAAATGTTATATATTTTATCTCTATTTTCTCCTTACTAAAGCCTTTTCATTAATTAAATTTCAGTATGCTATTGTTTCCATAATTCTTTTATTTAACAGAACAATATGCTTTCTTTTCATATTATCAAAATGTTTCCAATATAATTCTTCAAGTTCTCTTTGATCTTTCTTCAGTAATACAGAATCAGTTCGGGATGATGTACCATATTCACCAGCATCTTAGCTGACATGATACCAAGAGGGCAAAAGAAGAATATTAACACTCCCTAGTCAATTTGCGCTGAGTGTCTGTGCTCTATGGCAGGGATTGGAGATCTGAAGATATGATGGTGAGAGGATGGGTGTGGATGATAGAGTACATGGGGGGAGAATGGATGGTAGAATGGGTGATAGAGGATGGGTGTGAGGTACAAGGGAAGAAAATGTTTGAGAGATGGAAAAATGTAAAGTTCTCTATTGAAAAATACATATATAATGTGTACATCATGACTTCCTATAAAATGTGACACTATTTTTTTTTTAAAAAAAGAAGAATGTTATCACATAGAATATACTTATACTTGTATCATCTCTGGGCAGACAGTGCTAAGAAAGTCACTGCAAAGATGAGAAACCTATGACTTTATTGCACAGCTGTGCATATTCACAAGCAAGAAAAGGAATGTCTATTTGCCTTACATCTCAGTTCCTCATCTTTAGGAAGCAAAATAAAATCTAAAATAAAAATATATTGGAAAGTTGATAGTCTACATAAACTCTACTCACTTTCTTTTTTATTTAAGGGTTTCACCATCTACTAAAAATAGACAAGATTACTATAAAAGACAAAATAGAATATAAAAAATAAAAAGACATAGAAACCAGCAGTTAGCGTAATGGCTATGTTGCTGGACTCCCACGTAGTCGATTGCGGTTCGAGTCCCAGGCCCAGTGGCTTAAAAACTCACACCAGGTGCGTGTGCGTGCCTGCCCAAGATCCAGAGAGGAGAATGGAGGAGAGCGGATTGCGGTGTGGCCATTCCCCCTGGGAGTTGAATTCTTGCTTTCTGTCTCTCTGTCTTTCTCTGTTTAGTGAGTACACATACCCTATGGCAAAAACCTCTCAAAAAAATAAAAAATAAAAAAATAAAGAGACATAGAGGACCAGACAATGGTACAAAAGTAATACTATACTCTGTGAGGCTTACACATATGGGAAGCTTACAAGTTCATGTCCAGAACTTTTTTGAGAATGCCAGGAATGGGTGTGCTCATTTTCTGGGCAAGCTGGCTGGAGGTAGATACCAGTACAACCTATTAGGGATCCTGTTTTTCTGTCTTCGTCTCTCTCACTGAGAATAAACACATTACTCTTTAAATATATGTAGATATATTTAAATATATATAATATTTATAATCAGATGAGATGTTAGGAATGGTGAATTATTATACCTATAGATTTGCTCCTTTATAAAAGTATCAAAAATACTGGTGAGCCAGCAGGTTGGATGGAGATTAAGGTAGCTGGATTCCACATATTCTGCTGTACTTCTAGAGTCCTGGACTTTGCAGGTTGAAAATCACACCATATTTGGGCCAGCATGTAGTGCGGTGGTTAAGGCACTGGACTCTCACATGGCTGATCACTGTTTAAGTCCCAGACTTGGCAGCTTGCTTTCTCATTTTCTCTCTCTTTCTCTTTCTCTGTCTCTGTCTCTCTGACCAAAGTTTAAAAAGTGATAATAAATAAAATTAAATAAATATTAATGGACAATGGAAGAGAAAAGATTGCAGTGTGGCCATAACCCCAGTGGGATGATTTCTTTCTTTCCCCCTCTCTCTGTTCCTTCATGTCTCTCTAGTGAACACATATGCCCTATAGTAAACAAAAAACAAAAACAAACACCACACACACAAACACTGGTAAAATTTTCACAGTCAACATTTGCAAACTCTGGAAATAAACCTGAGATTCACAACAATGAAGACAACACTTATTTAGTAAAATCCAAATAAAATACTTCCAAAATAATGGTAGTATTTGGCACATTATAACTGATGTTCCCTTTTACTCTTTCCAGCTCCACAGTAAACTTGAAAATCAGTAGACTTGCAAACATGGTGGTTATGAGAAACAAAAGTCCTTTTTTAAAAGAATTATTTTATTTAACTTTATTTATTTACCCTAATTAGACCAGAGAGGAAGAGATAGAGAGAGAGAGAGAAACAGAAAGAGAGAAAGTGAGAAAGGAAGCCACCAGGTTCGGAACTTGAAACTTGAATCGCTCTTGGCCATGTGGGAGTCCACCTCCCTTAACCACCATGCCACCTGCGGGCCCTCAGAAAAACAGAACTCTTTTAGAGAACAGGCAGTGTTCAAATTTCCTTAAAATCTACAGATCATTGTGACTTTTTGACATATATCACAGTTTCTGTGAAAAGCTTCATAAACAGAATTGTTATTGTTTGACCTGGATCTGAGCTGACTTCTCTTAGGGCTTTTGTTGAAAACAATCAGTAGCGATTACTTACCACTACGGCTACCTGAGGCTGCAATCCCAACTGAGGCAAAAAGAGAAGACTCTGGAAAAAAACTGAAAGGGGAGTTCTTAAGTACAGTATGCCCATGATGGGCTTTGAAAAACTCCAGAGGAACTCTACGATTTTGCACATTTGCAGGCTTGTGTATAAGCTCAAAAATGACCTGGGGGACCCCAATTTCTCAACTCTGGCTGACCCTAAGACCTTGAGCAAGTGGGATATTGCTAACTCTGCTAAATCCAAAGGCTAAACCAGAGTTGTAAACTGTCTGCGTATTGAAGATGTGCCCAAATACACAAAGAGTCTTAAGCAATCACCACCTTTATCAGTCAGCAGCCAAAATATGTTTAAGCCAGACTCATTATCAGCAAAATTATTATGAATTGCTGAAGGATCAGAAGCTCATTAGCATTTTATAGCCATAAAGTATTTTTCATTAGACATAATGCTGTAACACACTTAACAGGACACAGGTTACCCACTTAATAGATCACAGTGTAGTGTCTGCATGATGTTTATATGCACTGAGAAATCAAATACTCATGTGACTGGCTTAATTGATATATTCACTTTATTGTGATATCTGAAACTGAACCTGCAATGTCTCTGATATATGCTTGTTAGAACATACTCATTACCCTGAAAATAAGTCCTAGGAAAAATTAGTAATATAATTATTGTTGGAACATACTAATGTCTAAAGCTAGCAACTTCATACAGGAAGTTGAAGAAAACACTTCAGTCTTTGTTTGGGATTATAGGTGAGAGTAATAGAGCATACTACTAATTTTTCTGGGATTTATTTTTGGAGTAATGAATATATTCTTAGATTACACTGATGATTGTGTAGCTTGGTGCATACACTAAAAGTAATTGTTTTTTACAATTTGCAGTGTACATTTTATAGTGTGTAGATTGTATGCTAATAAATTTGTTTATTTTATTTTATTTATTAATTATCTTTAGATTTTTGCCATAAGTCATATGTACTCACAAGATAGAGGGAGGGAAAGTGAAAAATCAACCCCACTGGTTGAGGGAATGACCATGCCATAATCCCTGCTCATTCATTGTCCTCTTGGGATTTGGGACATACACACATGCACTTGACATGATTTTCACAGTGCCAGGTCCAGAACCATAACCATAGCTGACCATGTGGGAGTCCAGTGCCTTAATTAACCACCACGACACCTGCTGGCCCCAATAAGTCTGATTTTTAAATGTATCAAATGTAAAGACATTACATAAAAATATTCATAATACTTTATGTTGAACAATTAATTCTAGTTCATAAACTTTGGATTCTTAATTATAGAAATTATTTGACCATATGCTTCAAACTCAGGAAAAATATACTGATTGGCAAATATCTCTTAGAATTACCTTATCCTCCAGTTTTTATTGCATTTTTATCAATATATCAAAGAGTGCTCTTGCTATGGAATGAAAATTTTAGATCTGTTTCATAATTCATTTTTGTAAAAAGTGGATTTTTTAATAATATATGTGATTCAAATAAAAATCTATGATTTTTTTATATATGTTCCATTTTTTTTCTTAAGATGCACTAATATTGATCAGAGAGAAATTCACAAACTGTGACTTGCAATAGAATAGATTGGTTACATGGTGCGACATAATTTCATAATACCCTTATTGCTGGTATGTATTGGGTCACCTGAAAAGTCATGAAGTATTTGTTCTGTTTTTCTATATAAAAATGTCTCATGACTTTTCCAAAAATTCAATGTAATAAAATATAAATCTCACATTGATTTAGCATAAATGGGCATTTTAATAAACTTACATTTTGAAACTACGTATTTTTTTACAAAAGCTTCTGAAAGTATTTTACAAATAAAATGAATGTATTGAAAATATGTCAAAAAAGTATGCAGTTGCTATTGATTTAATGTAAATATAGCTTTTTTTTTTTTTTTTAATTTTTTTTTTTTAATTTTTTTTTTTTTTTTTTTAGAGAGAGGTTTTGCTGTAGGGTGCTATAGTGCATACTCGCCAGAAAGACAGAGAGAGACAAAGAGACAGAAAGCAAAAAATCAACCCCCCAGGGGAGATGGTCACGACACAATCCCTTCTCCTCCATTCTCCTCTGGGATCTTGGGCACGCACGCACACGCACCCGATGTGAGTTTTAAGCCACTGTGTCCAGGACGCAAACTGCAGTCGATTACATGGGAGTCCAGCGACATAGCCATTATGCTAACTGCTGGTCCCCACAGTTTTTTTTCCCCCCAAACACTTGCTTCATTTAAACTTGTACTGATTTCAGAGTTTTCTCACTTATGTGAAGATTCATATCCGTGTGCTGAGATGCTGTGACCTCAGGGCTTGAGGCAACTAGAAAGACTGATTTACTGAGTCTTTGATACAGCAGAGCTTCCTCCAAAAGCAATCTTTTCCCATTAAAGGAATTAAACATTGCTATTTCCATTGAGTAGAATGATGTGCAAAAGGTTGGGAAGTAATGATAATATATAAAATCATGCACACGCATTTATGTATTAAGGCAAAACATTTGGTAGTCTATGGTATAAAAACTACCATTGTATAATGTCAGCTACATTCTCATTTTTACTAAATATTTTCTGGTGTGTGTATGGTATGAAAGAATGGTATGTTTAGATTTATTAGAAATAAATATTAAAAGGTGTGCTCATATAAAAGTAAAGATGATTATACTTGTTAATGAAGGATTACATAAATAATCCATTCATGCTTTTGCAATATTTTAAGAAATACATATTCATAATTATCCAATAAAGTGGAGTAACATTTCACAAATTATAAATATAATGATTTAAAACATTAACAGAATGTTAATAAAATATCAATTTATGCTCAACATTTGAAATAATAAAATATTAAAAATTTAAATTCTCCAAAGAATAGTTCATTTCACAGCTGCTCATCTAAATGGACTATAGTCAATACTCTTATTCTTTTCACATGGTAAGATTATATAATCTGTAAAGAGAAATATCTGTTTATCCTTTCTCAGGGTTAATCCTGAACTAAACACATGGTGAGCAATGCGGGGATAATAGGAAATGATCTTCATAAAAATCAACCTCGTTCTCTTGAACAAGCTAAATACAATAGGCAAAAAGAGGAAAGGAGGTTGTGTTTTTTTGTTTTGTTTTGTTTTGTTTAGTTTTTTT